GGACAGAGGGGGCCTGGACAGGTGGTGCAGGGGGCAGCGCCGTGGGAAGACCAGGTTGTTGGGGCCAGGAGGAGGTGGCGCAGCAGGAGTCCCCCAGGAAGGGCTGGGGCAGGCAGAGCGACCCCACGGTGGACCCTCCGCCCGCTCCGCCCCGCAGGTCAACGGCATGGACATCAGCAGCGTGCCCCACAACTACGCCCTGCGCCTGCTGCGCCAGCCCTGCCAGGTGCTGCGGCTGACCGTGCTGCGCGAGGACAAGGTCCGGGGCAGGAGCAGCGCGCAGGCCCCGGACGCCCGCGGGCCGCGGGACAGCTTCCACGTGACCCTGCACAAGAGCAGCCCCGAGGAGCAGCTGGGGATCAAGCTGGTGCACAAGGCGGACGAGCCCGGGGTGTTCATCTTCAGCGTGCTGGACGGCGGCCTGGCCGACCGCCACGGGCAGCTGCAGGAGGACGACCGCATCGTAGCCGTCAACGGCCACGACCTCCGATACGGCAGCCCGGAAAGCGCAGCTCATCTCATCCAGGTGGGTCACGGCCCAGCCAGAGACCCCCACGCCCGCCCGGTTGCCCCCCGCGCTACACACGGTGCCTGCCTCCCAAGGAGGCGGCCGGAAGGGCCTGCACGCTCTGAGCTTCTGCCCAGCTGAGATGACTCAGGCCAGCGGCGCCCGCCGGTCCCGGCCGTGCCGTGGGTCTGCGTTGCAGCCAATCAGCCCGACTGCAGACACACACGCTGGGTTGCATGCCATGACCTCAGGAGGCCGGCAGGGCTGTGCCAACCTGGTACCTAGAATGGCAGACGCAGGCCCAGGGCTCGCCCAGACACGTCCAAGACAGCCGGCTGCATTCACTCCCGTGAGAAGCCATGTGGCACAGCCTCCTGGGGCGCTAGGGACCAAGACCACGAGAGTGCTGGCTCCTCCAGGGTCAAGTCCAGTTCCTTGGAGAGCCCAGGGCCACGCAAGCAGGAGCCCCTGACTGAGAGGCACAGGAGCAGCCAGCAGCTTGACCATGGTGCAGACCGGCTCACCAGCCGACCTGTGCCAGGTCTTCAAGCCCCAGTACGCAGCTTTGTGACTTTGGCTGGGTCGCCATGAAACTGCATGCCTGTTTTTTTAAGTCAGACTTCTTTACTTCGAGATCATCACAGAGGAACCTGTGGTTATGAGGACTAATCCAGACAGCTCCCGTGCGCCCGTTCCCCGGGTTTTCCCGGTGTTAGCGTCGTGCAGATCCATGGGGCTGAACACAGGCAGACAGCTGTTGTCGACACAGAGACCCTCATACTGTTTCCCTTAGAGCCACCCCCACTCCCCGCCCGCTCAACCCTGGGCCGCCTCTGCTCTCTCCATTCCTGTTCTCAGCCTCAAGAATGTTCCTCCTGTATCTCCGTGACCTCCCCCCTGGGTGGCCAGCTTCGTCCCAGAGGGACAGAGGTGTTCCGGGCTCCTGTGTCCTAAGCCACGCCTTCCTTTCCTCCGTGTGTTATGCGCATGTGCTAACTTTCCGGTGCTTTCCTGGTCCTGAGTTGGGTGCAGAGAACAGAGAGATGGCGACCAGGTAGATGGCTCTCCCAGAGAGCCCAGCATCTGGGGGGAGCCAGCCGAAGGCTGTGGTGGCTCTGTGGGGAGGGCTCACGTGCCTACAGTGCTGGTGTTGCCACAGTGGTTTCTGCATGGATGGTCCTAACAAGTGCTCCCGGAGGGGGAAAAGCCTGGACTGGGCTTTGAGGATTGAGTAGGAGTTCTCTAGGTAGACAAGGCAGCAAGGGTCGTTGGAGGAGATGCGACACACAAGAGCCCTTCCCTAGAGCCTGTTGGGAAGACGGGGGACTGCTGGGTCGTGGGGGCACTCAGAGAAGCAGCAGCGGACGTGGCAGGAGTGAGAGGCTGGGCCGGGCTGCGGGGAGGGCCGCGAGCCAGGCTAACATGGGCTGTCGTCAGACGGGTTCAGGAAAGGAAGTGGCGTGGTCTTCTAGAAAGATCTCTCCCGAGGCAGCAGTGGCATGTGGTGACTTGCACGTGGTGACGCGGGCCTCGTGCTCCGGGCCTCAGCGGTGGGTCGCGGCAGGGGCTGTACGGAGGAGGAGCATGGGAGAGAGTCCACCGCTCCAGACCTGACCATCCAGGAGCCCCTGGGACCCGTCCAGGGGTCCATCCGGGTGCTGGCCATCTTCTCCGCTGTGTGCGTGGTGACACATCCCTGCTCCTAAGGACAGCCGAGCAGTGGGTGGTGGGCTCGACCTCTAAGACGTGAGGTGGGGGGCACAGGGGGCCGTTCTCTGCTTCTCAGGGCAGGAGGCACCCAGGGGGCACCTTGGCAGGGAGCTCAGAGCCCAGTTCCAAGTCCCTGTGGATGCGCCTGCGCCTGACAGGGCCTGCACCCCAGAGAGTAGAGCAGGTGCACCCTGCCAGGGCCCGCACCCCGCAGAGCAGAGCAGGTGGACAGAGCTATGAGCGGCACCTCCTCCTGGGCTTAGCGCCGTCTCCCCGAGTTCACTCGCCCAGCCCACTGCTCTGACCCTCATGTCCCAGCGCCGGCCTGACCCTCAAACCTCACGTCAGCACTGGTCCCCGGCTCCCCCACTGCGCCCCTTGCCTAACCCGCACTGCCCTCTGTCGCAGTCTTGAGAGATGGCACTACCGTGTGCCCAGTTCCTCCTGCCCCGGCATCCCTCTCCCGGTCTGTTGTTTAGCACCTCCGTGGACCCCACCAGACCCTCAGCCTGGGGTCCCTGGGCCCCTGGCTTCCACTCTGGAGCCCCCAGCCTCTGCTGTCCCCGCAGCGGTATTGGGGGCCACTCTTGCTGCTGGCCCCCTGAGGCTTCCCAAGACACTCGGATGAAAATGCCAAGGCCCCCAGTGGCTGCAGAGCCGCAGGCGCTGGGCCACTGCCTCTCCCTCCACGCTCATTCCTAAGCAGAGGGGAGGCATCGGTGTTCTCCCCTTGCGTGGGCCTGTTCACCACCTTGCTTCCTTGCTACTCCAGAACCACTTCCGGAGCTTTTCCTCATGGGGTCGCTGGCTGTCCCTCACCACGGGAGAATCTCCCAGAAATCTGCGTGACCTGCTCACACACCTCAGGGAGGTCACCTGCTCGGGGAAGCCCACGCTGACAGCCTCACTTAAATAGCACAGCGCACTCAGCCTGCACCCTGTCGGCGGCTTTGTCTTCTACTCTGTAGCTTCCTCGTGGCCTTAGGTCCGGTGCAGTGGAACAGAGCGGGCGATTCTGTCCCGACGCTGCGATCAGCACCTGCCAGAAGTAGTTTCGCGATACCTCCCCGCAGCACGTGGGCTTCTGAGCGCCGTCTGTCCCCAGGGCGTCCTGCTGCTTCTGGGGAGCCTTGACTTTGCTCAGTAGATGCTGGTTGGGCAGCTCCCGTGGGCCAGGCAGCCTGAGGTCCTGACACACTTCTGCCTCCCGGTGCTGGAAACACACTGCCGTCTCGTCTCAGACAGTCAGGGCAGCCTCAGACGGTGGGGGGGTCCCAGCCAGGGTGCACCACGGGAGGGGACACAAAATAGGCCGTGTACGTGGAAAAGGAAGACTCCATTTTCTCCTACTCAGAAGAAATCACATCCTTAGCCTTTTTTTCTCTACAAGACATTTTAGGTGATCATCAGTATTTGTCATGCTGCACATAGCGCCCCCTGCAGGTCCTCACCACAGCTCACCCTCTGAGCACGAGCTTTGCCAACTAGCCTTTGCAATTTCGCAACAGGCCAGAGAAAAACTCCCTTACTCATGTCATTTGGAAAAATCTTGGTAACATATGGCATCTACTTTTGTAGATGAATAACAGGAGAGCAAAAAAAAAATTCCCTGAGAAAGTTAATTTATGAAATAAAATCTGGCCTAACAGTGGAACTTCCTAAAAGATTCCTTTGCTTACTAAATAAAGCCCATGTGCTTTGTAAGCAGAAAAACACTTGAAAAAAATAAAACAAATACATAAAAGCTGGGGCAGAACTAGTTGGAAAAGAAATGCGAAAAAAAAACCAGCATGTTGGAAAAGCTCAGCTAAGCCACTTCTTGCTGGTTCCGCAGAATAGATTTAATTTATGGGATGTCCAGAGCACACCCAGGCTGGGGGGATGGAACTGAATACCTTACAGACTGAAACTCAAGTTTCTAACCAATCCTTGGCTGGGGCGCCCTTGTGTGTCTACTCCATGAAGCCCACGAAGAAATTCGCAGACGGTACGTCTGTGGGGCCTGGCCTCTCCCCGGCTGCCACACGGCCTGCCTCGTTCTTGCCTGCTTGCGGGGGAGCCACGACACCCAGGCTGCAGCGGGCTCCTCACGGGAGCTCTAAGCCTCAGCGCGCCCAGCAGCAGCCTGGGTTCTGCAGGTCGGAGGCGGCCCCCGGAGAAGGAGAGTGATAAGGAGACGGAGCCTGCGCCGTAGGAAGCAGCTTGGGACAACTTGGCTCTTCTCCAGCCTCAGTGGCTCAAGCTTATTGAGCACCGTGGCTGTGACCGAACGGCTTGTTGGAACTGTCAGGTGTCGTACCTAACACAGGAGAACAAAAATAGGATAGAACTGGCGGGGGGAGGGGGAGGTCTCAGCCTCCTGGGCTCGGAGGGTCGGCCGTGCCGCCCGGCGCCCCACGTGAGAACCGTCCCAGCCGGGCGCGGCAGCCCGGCGCCCCACGAGAGCCGTGTGCGAGGTTTGCTCCCCCAGGGAATGGGTGATTAAGTGAGAGGTTATTTCACGAGGCCCCTCCAGCTTCTACAAAGGACGTCAGGGACCTTTAGACAGAGCCAGAGAGCAAACATCGGTTGCTCGTGTTACATGAGTTCTGAATGCGGACTCCAGCTCGTGAGCTCCGCCACGTCGCTGGGAACACGGGCAGAGGTGCCGCGGGGATCCAGACGTTCAGCTCCCCCGCAGCCAGTGAGCATCGCCAGTGAAACAGGACCTGACAGGGTCGTGTGTGTGTGTTACAGGTCAGCGTGGCTCAGGTGGAACCCGATCCCCCTCGCCACGGGCTTACCACGGACTGTAACACATTCGGTGCACGCAAGCCAAACTCTGTATGGATGTTCTGAAAAAAACCTCCCAGAGCTGAATCCCCAAAGCCCGAAGGATTTTCATGCAGGGCTCCAAGTTTTGCACATTAAGGATTAAGTGTGACTCGGCCAGTGCGCAGCCTTTCAAAGCAGAGGTTTCTCCTGTTGGCCTGGCGTGGCTTAGGTGCCTTTTATTTCTGCTGCCGTCGTCAGATTTTGCCGTCTGGGCTGGGTGGTTTTAGTTCATGAAATCTGTAACTTGGCATCTTTTTTGAATTTTGAAACCAGGCCCCCATAGAGCGCCTCGCATGCGGACGCCAAATAGCCCTGGGCTCCAGCTCCTAGACTCCCTCTCTTTTTCCCAATTCTTAAAAAATTGTTGAGAGAACATTTTCAAATAACGACAGTCAAAGGCTTAATAAAAAATTCAACAAATGCAAAGTAAACAGACCCCAGTGCAGCAGGAATATAGACAGGGGCTATAACAATCACGAAATGAAAAGATGCCA